CCCCTGTAGCCATATTTAGCAGCCAGTTACAGATATTACTGTTTATACAATATCTCAGCATATTCATGTTTTAGGCTGCATTCCTAGTACTAACGGGTGCTACCTGGTTATCTTGTTTAATAACGTTCTGTGCTGCCAAAGTGTTGTTTTTGAGACTGCGAGCCAAACTCAGCATTTCTTCTGCTAATTTCTCTTGCAGGTTCTGATGATGCTGCAACACGGCATCCAGCTCAGTTGCTGACTGTTTCTCATCAGGTTCAAGTCCTCTACAGAGAACAAGGCAGAAAGGTTAGGATGTTTCAAATGATTTCAAGGACTGTTCTCCCCAAAGCACTTTACTATGTAAACTGACAAGCACATTACATTACAGCTCACATATCTTATCAATTGGACAGAGCAGTAAGTTAAACGCAGAACATGGAAGCCAGTCATTAAAATCTGGGCCTACACACACAGGAAGTAAAACCCTTGCACCCAAATCAAAACCATTTGGAAGTCAGAAGCCTTTGGAAAGCAGCTGTCAACAAAATAGCAAAATGTTAGATTCTGACTTACTTGCGCTTCCTTACGTTCGGCTCCTCAGAATCTGTTTAAAAAAAAAAAAAAATAGTTACCTTGCGTTTTAGCATATTATAAACCTCCAGGCCTGACTATCATGGCAAGCTGCCTTATAAGCAGTGATCCATGAAAACGACGAGGCCAAAGGAAATTAAAGGCTTAACTTTGTTTGGGCACCTGCCTGAGGAAACAAGGGTTTAGAAAGCTTTGACGGAGGAGGCACCAAGCTATCATGCCCACGTCCAGTTCAGAGAAATGGAAGAGACCAGCCTGAAGAAAAAGGCTGAATCACTGTTCCCAAATAATAGCATCTAAGTCAAGCGTAGCTCCTCCAGCAGCAGCTAGAGAAACTGGCCACTCATGTGGCTGGGTACAGTGGGGGTCAGTCACGCATTTCAGAAGAGTTAAAATGATCTAGATTCAAATGGCTCCTGGAACTATGCAATCCGCCTGTGCCAGGAGACACAGGTAACAATAAGATTGGACTCTTGTGTCCAACCCTGAAGTAAGTCTGAATTCATTCAGACAGATACTCTCTGTCCTGAAGAAGCCTAGCACAAGCACGTCAGGGCACAACTGGGCACTACACCATACCAGCATCTGTACTGGCACTTCTAGTTGTCTTATCAGCTGGTGTGACAGAGGAGTTCCAGGGTGAGACTCCTGGGGTCAAGCGGGCTTCAGCTGGTTTGTAACCACCCCATGCACCAGCGCGCAACCCTGAGCATCTGAACCAAGTTCTCAGACAGAAACTTACCGTTGATGGACACAGGATCCTGGCGAGGCAAGGAGACAAAGTAAGATTAGGTACACACACAAATGGAACTGGGGCCCACCGGCAAGCACGTCTCACCCCCAGAGCATCCTCCTTCCCACCAGCAACTGCCCTGTATCCACCACAAGGAGCCAAGAGTGTCACAGATCATAAGTTAGGCTCAGCCCCTTGAAGGCAACATGCTGCCAACTGACAATCTGTGCTCTCGCTGGGGAGAGATGGGTGTATCCTCAGCTTTAAACACACACACTTTGATAGGAGAATTGAAAAAAAGAATGAAATAAAAAATAAATCTCAGAAGCTGTAGGAGTCCCCTTGGCTATGACCTGCCCCCACAGACAACCATGGGTCTGAGGCCTGCTACCGACAGCGGTCCCTGAGGACACTGTCACTTCAAGGCTGGGGACGGCACCTAGCTGAGGTAGGTGACCCCCTGGAACCAGCAGCAAAACATACTGTGCCGAGCAGCTCACTCCTCATGTTGTCTGTACAGCGAGCTTTCGTCCGCAGGTGAACTGTTTTAGTGGCTGGGGCTCGCTCTTTGGCCGTAGTAGGAGTTCGTCCTGGAGCCAGGAACTGATTTGCCAGTGCCTTCTCAGTGGATGACGACTACAAAAGAGAAACAGCCAAACGGAGTCATTAACCCAAGGGACACGGGAGAACGAGTGACCTGGGGCGAGGATTCAGAGAGCTCCTCCGCTGCTGCATCCCGAGCGAGAGGGAGGAGAGCAAGACGACACAGCATAGACAGCCGTGACTGCAACAGATCAAGCTGCAGCACAGACGCATTACGTGCCAATTCTCCAGATGCATAAATGTCTCTCTAGAAACGTGCCACGCAGGAGGCACAGACTCAAGGGCAAGCTGCATCCGTCACAAAGGACGCTCAAAGGTAATTCTGGGATGCGTGCGAGAGCAGCTGTCACAAAGGCTCCTTGCCCAAAGGTAATTCTGGGACGTGTGCAGGACGAGCCTGGAAGTCACGGCCGTTTGTTTAACGCAGGGGTGGGCAAAATACAGCCCGGGGGGGGCCAGATCCAGCCCGCCAGGCCGTTCTAGCCATCCCTAAAAAATTCAGAAGATGAATCTAAACTTGCTCCTGGCTGCCTGTCAAAGATGGCAGGACCCAGCAGCAAGACCTTACCAATTTTTCAGCTTCCAGAAGTCCCTTTAAGAAATCCACTTTGCGGGAGTACTCGTTCAGCAGCTCGGGGGCCGGCTTGCTGCAGGAGTCGGAGGAGACCGGAGAACCGGGGGTCAGCATTTCGGAAAAATGGAGTAGAAAGCCTCAGGGACGCGGGGTGGGAAGGGGGGGGCACCTCCCTGGCCCCCCAGCAGCTAACTTTTGGAAAGCCGAGCTGCCCGAGTGCCCCCGCCACCACGCACAGGCCAGAGAGGCGGGGCCGGGCCCGGGAGCGCTCACCTGGAGCGGTTCTTCAGCTCGAGGAGCATCTCTTCGAGGGCACCGACGTACTGCGGAGGAACCCCCCACCCCCAACACACACTCCGTTATGTGGGCGCTTCTCCCCCGGCCG